AGGGCTGTAAGTGAAGTTAATAATCAATCATGCCTACATGAGGCCTACATAAAAATCCCAACAGTATGAGATTCCGGAGAGCTTCTAGGTTGGTAACACATCCACATACTGGGAGGATGACAGATCTCAGCTCCACGGGAACAGAAGCTCGTGGGCTGAGGACTCTCCCAGACCTTGCCCTGTGTATCTCTTCATCTGAATGTCCATCTGTATCCTTTATCATATATTTTAATAAACTGATAAAGTATTTCCTGAGTTCTGTGAGCTATACTAGCAAATAATCAAGTCCAAAGGAACCTCTGATTTGTAGCCAAGTCGGATAGAAATTGTGGGTAACCTGGGGACCTACTACTTGGATTGGCATTTGAAATGGTGGGCAGTCTCATGGGATCTGACACTATCTCCAGGTAAAGTGTCAGAATTGAGTTAAATTGTATGACACCCAGCTGGTGTTGCAGAATTGCTTGGTATGGGGGGGAAACCCCCCACATTTCTGGTATCAGAAGTGTGAGAGTGGTGGTAGTGTGAGAGTAAAGGAGAAACATAGGAGTAGGAGGTTTTTTTTCTCAGCTGTCTATAGGAGACACATTTCAGAATTAAAGATACAGAAATAGCTTAAAAGTAAAAAGATGGAAAAGAAATATGCAAACAGTAACTAGAAGAAAGCTGAGTGGCTATAGTAATATCAGACAAAATAACCCAGCCAGTGTGGGTCAGTGGTTGAGCATCAACCTATGATCCAGGAGATCCCGGTTCTATTCCCAGTCAGGGCACATGCCTGGTTTGTGTGCTCGATCCCCAGCAAGGGGCATGCAGGAGGCAGGCAGTCAATAACTCTGTCTCATCATTGATGTTTCTATCTTTCTCTCCCTCTCTCTTCCTCTCTCTCTGAAATCAATAAAAATATTTTTTAAAAATCAGACAAAATAAACTTTAAAACAAAAAAAAATGTTACTAGGAATAAAGAGGGACATGATAAAAGGTCAATACATCAGAAGATATACCAATTGTAAATATATATATGCACCTAATAAAATACATGAGGGAAAAGCTTACAGAAATAAAGGGAGAAATAGATTATTCAATAAGAGACTTCAGTACCCCACTTTCAATAATGGATAGAATAATTAGACCTAAGATCAAGGAAATAGAAGATCTGAACAGTACTGTAAACCACTAGACCTAATAGACATCTGTGGAACACTCCACCCAACAACATAATATACATTCCAGGTGTACATGGAACACTCTTCAGGATAAATAATATAGTAGCCATAAAACAAATCTTAAGTATGAAAGGATAGAAATAATACAAAGTGCCCAACCAGGCATGGCTCAGCAGTTGAGTACGACCTAGGATCCAGGAGATCAAGGTTCAATACCCCGTCAGGGCACATGCCCAGGTTGCGGGATTGATCCCCAGTTTGGGGCTTGCAGGAGGCAGCTGATCAATGACGACTCTCTCATCATTGATGTTTCAACTCTCTCTCTCCCTCTCTCTTCCTCTCTCTGAATCAATAAAGATATATTAAAAAAAAACCCCAAAACTACAGGAAAAAGTTAAAAAAAAGAAAAAAAGAAATAATACAAAGTATGTTCTCCAACCATAATGTAATGGAATTTGAAATTATATGCCACAACCAAGTAGGATTTATCCCAGGAATAAAAGGTTGGCTTAATATCCAAAAATCAACTTAATGTAATTCACCATGTCAATTGAATAAAAAACAACCCTATGATTATCCTAGTAGATGTAGGAAAAACCATTTGAAAAAATCCAGTGCTCTTTTCATGATAAAAATGCTTCAGAAATACAAAGAAATTTTTTCAACCTGATAAAGGGCATCTTATAAAACACCCACAGCCAGCCTCATACTAAATGATGAAAGATGATGCTTTTCCCATAAGATCAAGAACAAGACAAGTATATCTGCTCTTGCCATTTCTATTCAGCATTGTACTGGAGGTTCTAGCCAGGGCACTTGGGCTAGAAAAGGAAATAAAAAGGCTTATATGACTCATATGTCTGTATGGAATAGAATTGAGAGTCCAGAAATAAATCCATGTGTCTATGGTCAGTTGATTTTTGACAAGGATGCCAAGACCATTCAATGGAGGGAAAGAATAGTCGATGGCACAACATATGGTGCCATGACAAGTGGATAGCCACATACAAAGAATAAAGTTGGACCCTCACACCATATATAAAAATCACCTCAAAATGGATCATAAACTAAATGTAAGAGCTAAAACTATAAAACTCTTAGAAGAAAACATGGGGTAAATCTTCATTACTTTGGATTTGACAATAGTTTCTTAGATAAGACACCAATAGCAAAACCAACAAAAAAAAATAGATAAATTGGACTTCATCAAAACTAAGAACTTTTGTAGTTCAAAGGGCATTATCAAGAAAGTGAAAAGGAAGAAAATATTTGCAAATCATATATTTGAAAAGGCACTTGTATGTAGAATATATAAAGAACTCTTAAAACTGAACAATAAAAATAGAAATAACCCAATTTAAAAATGGGCAAAACGTTTGAATAGACAGTTTTCTAAAGAAGGTATATAAATGGCCAATTAACACAAAAAATGCTCAACATCATTAGTCATTAGGGAACTGCAAATTAAAACCATAATGAGATACCAGTTCACACCCAATAGGATGGTTATAAAACAAACAAAACCACAGAAAAAACAAGTATTGGTGAGGATGTGGAGAAATTGGAACCCTTATACATTGCTGATGGGAATGTAAAATGGTACAGCTGCTTTGGAAAACAGTTTTCTAGTTCCTCAAATTGTTAAACAGAGTTATCATAGGACCCAGCAATTCCATTTCCAGGTATATACTCAAGAGAACTGAAGACATGTGCTAACCACTGAGCCAAACTGGCCAGGGCAAATTTTACTATTCTTATATCTCTTATCTCCCACTGTGAAAATACTGATTTCCAACCACACAATATAATCATTCATTTGCAACTATAGTACCCACACAACAGTATAAAAAATACTAACAATGTTGGTAATTATTCATATGATAACTGAAAAAAATTCAGGTTTTGTGTTTTTTTTTGTTTTTTGTTTTCCATACTCTATAAAATTTGTATATCCTGGTAGGGATGTCAGTCAAATTACTGTGCTTTATATTCACTTGAAATAGTTTCTCTTTGTGAGGTTGTTCTTTCAACTCAATACTCAGTATTTTTTGTTTTGTTTTACTTTCTTTTAGGGATTTAAAAACATTTCATTATCTTTTATAGTTATGTAAAATATTTACAATTGTTCTAAAGTCAAATGTAAAAAACAGTATATTTAAGGGAAGTCTACTTTCAGTCCCTGCCCCACAGTTTTTAACTTTTCGTTATAGAAACTTTCAAACTGACGTAAAAGAAAGAGACTATTATAATAGAAACCCCAGATACCCATCACTCGTCTTCTCAATTGTCAGGTTATTGTTAATCTTGTTATTTATACACTCAATTACTTACCCACTGTTAGTTATGGTAGTTTAAAAATGTTACAGTATTTGTTTAAGGTAGTCTTGAGGACAGCCTGGAGGTAATCTGCTCTACAAAGAGAAATAGATGATTCATGAAAGAATAGAGATAATTGCAGAAGTGTTAGGAAGAGATTATGTGTTCCAGAGCTGTGTGGAAGAATTGGCCGTTAGTAGGGCCAAAGACACTTCATTCATGCTTTCTGAGAAGACAGTGACAGATACAGTATTTGGAAGATTTAGTAAGATGAAGGAGTTTCTGTCTGATTGCTGCTGCTGCTTTTTCTTTTTCTTCTAAGTGAAATGTGAGATAAAGTTATCATTTGAAAAATGAAGGGTGAGATAAGAGTAGAATGGTTGTTCTGGAGAGTGTGGTGAACATACTAAGGAAGTGTAATATAGTCACTAGGCAGTGCTGATTGTCTACCTGAGATTTGTGGTCATGAATTTATAGTGCTTGTGTTTTTCTCCCCCAGATGTTTAGATGAAGTACAGATGTGAAGTCAGTGAATAACTTGGTTTTAAACTGGGTTAGGTTGTAGGGTGAGTATATCTGAGGGAGAGTAGCAGGGGATTAACTTGGGAAACTGAGTAAGGAAGGAAGTGAGGACATAGATGGGGTGAGATGGAAGGGTGGAGAGGGGAGAGGTAGTAAAAATGTGGGGTACCTCAGAGAATCAGTAGGAAAGAACAAAAATCAGGGTAGTTCTGAGGAATAAGGTATTAGTTTACCACTGCTGGGGTGAGTCAGCTTCAACCCTTGTCATCTCTTTGCTCAAGATTCAAGTTCTTGGTGGAGAGAAATCAATTAATTAGACAAATGCTCACTCCTTAACTAGGAGAAGGCAGTGTATTAATCAGGGTAACTTGCCTGATAGAAAAATTTGGTAGTTAGGATCTGAAGTTTGCCCGTAAGTTTTTTTTTTTTTTAATCTTTCTGTATTCTATTTTCTGTATATTGTAAAGGAAACTTTACTTGCCCAGTTTGTATACTGTCCTATGGAATAATTACAGGCTTTGGAAACAGTTTTATGAAACTGATAAGTAGTGCAGTTAAGCTGAGATGGTGATAAACTCTCAGTGATCACAACTGCCAGTAAATTTCTTTGTGAAACCGTATTCAAAGTGTTGGGGAAAAATTCAAAGATCCTGTTTAAGCTTAAAACTATACTGAAACTATAAAGTTCAAAGCACATTAACAGCTTATAGGACAACAAATGTATATATTAAACCAGACTCTTATCAGAGTTCATTGGCTTATTGCAAATAATTGCATAACTCTTTGAGTTGGAATTAAAAGCTGTAGAGATTAATATCATAGCTAGATTTTCTCCTTGGATAAAATCACTAAATTGTTCTGTATCAATTTCTGATATGAAGTTAGTTGTAGGTTGCCAACACAAAACTGAGCCATAGCAGAGAGTAGAGGAATATGAAAAAAAAACTAGAGTGGCCAGGCAAAGAAGTTGAGTATTGAAGTTTTATGTATTTGAAGTAAAAGTTTAGTAGTAATACTTTCAAGTTCCAAAGTTGTTGAGATAAGTAAATACTACTCTTCTTAACAGTGGCAAAGAACTATAATTGTGCTGCACTAATTAAATTTAGTATTGATGGGGCTGGTGGTTGGAGAGGGATAAAGGATGTAATGTCTCTGGTTTTGTTAATCATCTTGACATAATAGAATTCCTTTATATATCATTTGGTCGGGTAGCCTTGGCATAATGCATAAGAACAGGCTTTTACTAGACAGTCAACACTGATGTGTTCTAGGGCATGTAATTTATCATATAATATATCTGCAACATTTTAATAATGAGTGATTTTATAGTGAGTTTCTAGTGCTTTTTTTCTTCTTTTTTGAAACTTATACTTTCTGCTATCAACTTTTCAGAGTGATGTAAGAATGTTAGTAAAAGTGCATTTATTTTCCTTTTTTTTGTTTTTTTTTGTTTTGTTTTAGGAGCAGCCACCATATCCTAGCTACAATTCTAACTACTGGAATTCTCCTGCCCGCCCTAGGGCTCCTTACCCAAGTACATATCCTGTAAGACCGGAAATGCAAGGCCAGGTAAAATTGACAGAATTTCAGAATTTTTTCTTAATGAACTGATTTATTTTCAGGACCTATGGAGATTTCATAGTAATGATATGCTGGTTTTTGTTAAGGGATTCTGTCTTAATCATCTTAATATTTTTAGCTCAGAGATAAAGAACTATCTAGGCAAATGTTACTTGTAGCAAAGATAACTTGAGGCATAATAGTTTATTTCTCAGGATATGGAAACAAAAATAAAATGTACTTATTTTTAAAAATTTGACCTTTTTTGAAATATAATTGACATATATAACTTATTAGTTTCAGGTATACAATATAATGATTTCATATTTGTATATATTGCGAAATGATCACCATGGTAACTTTAGTTAACATTCATTACCATACATAGTTACAAATTTTATTTTCTTGTGATGAGACCTTTTAAGACTTATTCTTTTAGCAGCTTTCAAATATACAGTACAGTATTAACTGTCGTCACCATGCTGTACATTATATCTTTGTAATTTATTTATTTTATAACTGGAAGTTTATGCCTTTTAACTGCCTTCCTTTATTCCTGCTGCCTCTCCCTTTCACCCACGAAACCAACAATTTGCTCTGTTATCTTTGAGTTGGGTTGTTTGTTTTTTGTTTAGATTCCACATATAAGTGAGTTAATATGGTATTTGTCTTTCTCTGTCTGGGTTATTTCACTTAGCATAATGCCCTCAAGGTCCATTCATGTTGTTCCGATTGGCAAGATTTTCTTCTATTTTTATGGCTGAATAATATTCCATTGTGTATACACACCACATTTTCTTTATCTGTTGATCCATTTATGGAATTTAGGTTGTTTCCTTGTCTTGGATAAATAACGCTTCAGTGAACATGGGGGTGCAGATACCTTTTTGAATTAATGTTTTTGTATCCTTTGGATATATTCCCAGATGTGGCATTGCTGGGTAATGTGATACTTCTATTTTTAATTTTTTGAGGAACCTCAATACTGGTTTCCATAATGATTGCACCAATTTATAATCCCACCAGCAGTGCAAAAGGGTTCCCTTTTCTCTACATCCATACCAACACTTGTTATTTCTTGTCTTTTTTGATAATAGCCATTCTAACAGGTGTGGGGTGATAACTCATTGTGATATTACATTTCCCTGATGATTAATGATGTTAAGACCCATTCATATACCTGCTGGCCATGTATATGTCTTCTTTAGAAAAATGTCTATTCAGATCTTCTTCCGTTTTTTAATCTGATTGGGGTTTTTTTGCTATTGAGTTGTAGGAGTTCTTTATATATTTTGGATATTAAGTCCTTATTAGAAATAGAATTTGCAAACATTTTCTCCGATTCAGTAGGTTTTGTTTTCGTTTTGTCATGGTTTTTCCTTTGCTGTGCAGCTTTTTAGTTCAGTGTCCCACTTGTTTATTTTTGCTTTTGTTGCTTGCTTTTGGTGTAAAAAAATTTGACCTTTTTTTTTTTTTTTTAAAAA